AGCCAAAGGGCCACGACCCCAAACGAGGAGCTCTCAGTTGTGCGCACGCGCGCGTGTGTGTGTTTGTGTGTGTGTGTGAGAGAGAGAGAGAGAGAGAGTGTGGTTATGGCAGCCACCCCACCAGGTCCTCCTTAACCATGGCATCAGCTACTCAGCTGAAAAAGATCCCTCTGGATCGGGGCCAAGGACTGCCCAGGCCAGCAAGTGGATGCATGGATGGGAAGCCCACCGGAAGAGCAGGACTGCAGCCCCCGCTCCCGCCACGCTGTCCCAGCAACCTGCATCGCCGGGCAAGAACTCGCGGCCCCCACTGCTGCGAACAGACGCGCTGCAGATGTGGTCACCCCCACCCCCCCAGACCTCCCGACCGAACAGGAAAGAAACCAGAACGAAAAAACCCCTCGTGGTGATGGAGCCAAGGCGCGCGCGCGTGTGTGTGTGTGTGTGGGGGGGGGGAGTCGCCGCTGCAGAGGCCTTCCTGTCCAGGCAGCGGGTTGGGCAGGGGGAGCTGTGGGGCCCCTCGCACGCCCCGAGGCCTCCATCCGTGGGCAGCCCAACGAGGAGACGGGCGCACCCTCTGCCCTGGGTGCAGGCCTGGAAGTGAGAGACGAGGTCCTCCCGTCCTCGAGGGATGCTTGCAGCTTGTGGGCGCTGGAGGGAGGGTGAGGGCTGAGGCACCAGGCACATGCTCAGAGACACTGCCACGTTTTTCAACTGCTCCTCCGCTGTAACTGCCAGAAGCGCTGCAAACACATTCTGGAGCTCTGGCCGAGGAGAGGAGCTGGGGCTGAGGTGCGGGGCTGCGAGACCCTCCGTGCCCAGGAAGGGGCATGCCGGGCCGCCCTCTGCCTGCCCACGGCCGACTGAGCGCCTCAAGGCAGCTCAGCAGCTTTGCGGTCCGTCTTCGCCCGCACCCGCACCTTCTCTAGAGGTGGGCCTACGGCTCCCATCATTCCCAACCAGAGCAAGGTGCCCAGGCGGGGGGGGGGGGGGGGCTACGCCGTGCAAATCGGGGGAAACAGCGAGTGAGCCAGAGATGCCTGTGAGAAAAGGCCAAAGATGAGGGGAGGAGGCACGAAGGCTGCGGAGGCACAGCAAGCCGGCAAGACCCGGATCCCACTCCGCAATTTCAGGACGCGATGCCCCCAGAAATGCGGCTTTCATGTTACAGTGTGCTGGATCTTAGTCATCAAGAAACCACATCCTCCTCAGTAAATTAACAAAGGAGTTCAGAAAAACCGATGCCTTATCTATGGCTGATCTTCCGCCAAATATTCCCAGCCAGCGAACAGGTGAGCGGCAGGCAGGCGAGAGCGAGGCCCGGGGGCTCCCCAGGGGCACCCCAGCTCCACGGGTCGAGGGGGAGACTGGGGCAAGGCCCACCCCAGGGGCTGAATGCGGGGGGCACGGAAGCACCGCTGCGCGCAGGGCCGGCCGCGCGGTCCCCATTCCGCCCCGGCCCGCTCCTGGGGCTCG